GGGATTCCACAACCTCCCTGGGCAATTTATCCCAGTGTTTGACCACCCTGACAGGTAGGAACTTTTTCCTAACGTCCAACCGAGACCTCCCTTGCTGCAGTTTAAGCCCATTGCTGCTTCTTCTATTCTCAGAGGCCAAGATGAACAAGTTTCTCCCTCCTCCTCATGACACCCTTTTAGATACTTGAAAACCGCTATTATGGCCCTCCCCCCCCCCAATCTTCTTTTCTAAACAAACCCAATTCTTTCAGCCTTCCTTCATAGGTCATGTTCTCTAGACCTTTCATCATTCGTGTTGCTCTTCTCTGGGCCCTCTCCAATTTCTCCACATCTTTCTTGAAATGCGGTGTCCAGAACTGGGCACAATACTCCAACTGAGGCCTAATCAGCGTAGAGCAGAGCGGAAGAATGACTTCTCGTGTCTTGCTCACAACACACCTGTTAATGCCTCCCAGAATCAGGTTTGCTTTTTTGGCAACAGCATCACCCTGCTGACTCCTATTCAGCTTGTGGTCCACTATGACCCTAGATCCCTTTCTGCCGTACTCCTTCCCAGACAGTCGCTTCCCATTCTGTGTGTGTGAAACTGATTGTTCCTTCCTAAGTGGGGCACTTTACATTTGTCTTTATTAAACTTCATCCTGTTTACCTCAGACCATTTCTCCAATTTGTCCAGGTCATTTTGAATTCTGACCCTATCCTCCAGAGCAGTCGCAACCCCTCCCAGCTTGGTATCATCTGCAGACTTAATAAGCACCCTCGCTATGCCAATATCTAAATCGTCGATGAAGACATTGAACAGAGCTGGTCCCAAAACAGACCTCTGCGGAATCCCACTTGTTATACCTTTCCAGCAGGATTGAGAACCGTTAATAACTACTCGCTGAGTACAGTTATCCAGCCAGTTATGCACCCACCTTACAGTACCAGCAACTTGCCACTGAAATAAGCCAGCAGGACTGAGCACAGGAGGGCTGACGACGACAGTTTTACAAAGTCATTTTTCAGAGAACTGTTCATTCATTAAACCTCCTGGGTTCACCCTTCCATGGCAGAGAAAAAGGCGAGACAGTCACTTATGGTGCTGCAGCAATACTGGCACGCACATGAGGGAAATACATTTCGGCTCCCTCTCCAGAAGGGAGGTTGGATATTTGTCAAAGCTGACAAAACATAGTTAGGCTCCTAAGCTGGACTGAAAACACAACTACACACTGGCATCTGTTCACAACCCCTGGAGACGGCTGGCATTCCGGGACTAGAGTTTAAGAGAATCACAGACCACCAGAACTGGAAGGGACCTCGAGAGGTCGTGTCCTCACGGCAGGGCCAAGCATGGCCTAGGAGAGGTTACAACCTGCATTCTTTTCCTAGCTTGAAAGGAGCCTTGCTCCCAAGATCTGAAGTCTTATTCTTGATTTCAAAACCCGGCTCTGACTCTACAGTGCTGCACTGCCAAGGCTGACTATCGGCGACAGCAGTTGGGGGTCATTCTAACATGCCAAACAGCTAAACCTCCATTCAATTGTAAAACACAAAGCCAAGCAGGTTTGGCGTGATTCTCCAAATATCAAGATTGCAGCGCTTGTGCGGCAGCAGCCTGGTGCTCTTATAAACGTCCCTGGCTCTTGCCAAAAGGCCAGATTGAATGCAGCAGCTAACGCAGAGGCCTGCAGGCTGACCTGTACATACCAGGCTTGAAATCAAAAAGCAGAGTGCAGGCATGGAGGACAAGGCCCCGCATACGGACTGCAGGATGACCCCTCTCCTAGCACGAGAATAGTGCCCCCCCAGTTCCTCACTTCCCCTTCCCTCCCTCCCAGAGCTGGAACACTGCGAGGAGTGGGGACGGAGCGCAAATCCAGCAACTTGCATGCTCAGAAAGTGGTGGGAGTGGGAGCAGTAAGGATGTTAAAATTCGATTAATCAACTAATCGAATAGTCGACAGAATGTCCATCGACTATTCGATTAGTCGATAAGGGCACCTCCTCTTTGAAGTGCAGCAAGGGCCTGCCTGGCTGTTGCTACAGTTCAAAGGTGGACATGCTGCGTGGCGTTCTACTCCAGCGGGGGCTCTGGGGCAGCTCAAAGAGTGACGCTCGGCATGGAGCTGGGGGCCAGCGGGGGACTCCCCGAGTCCCGGCTCCACGCAGCGCTTCCGCTTTGAAATGGACAGGAAACCGGGGACTCTTGTACATTTCAAAGGTGGAACCTTGCCGCTGCGCCCCAGCCCTCTCCCACGGAGCTGGAGGGAATGGGCTTTTACGCCGGCTTCCCTCAGTACCCCGTCCCCTCCCCCTGCCTCTTGCAGATAGAGCCAGCAAGGTGGGGGGAAACAATTAATGTGGCGACTATCCGATATGCTTTTGGAGGAGCAGGAAATCGGGGCTCTGCTGCCCCACGGCGCGACACACACGTGGGGCAGGAGGGCAGACTGAGCCAGAGGTGGCAGCCATTGGCTGCTGTGGCCCACTGAGGGGAAGGAGGACCACTCCTGCAGCCCACCTACTCTCCATGGTTGCCCACCCCTGCTCTAGCTCCTAAGATGAATTTCCAAGTGAGTAGGGAAATGAGAGAGGTCTCCTCACAGTCAAAGGAAGGGTGGCCAACCCGACTGCCTTCCATGGCAGTCAAAGCAGCGCTGAATTGTAAATATGCCCTGGACTGTTACCTTACCACCCCTTGCTGATTACATGGGTGTGAAGGCATCCGTCCATTCAGACATGAACTAGGCCCCCCTCTCTCTCACCCCCCCCAAAGTTATTCCACCGGCACCAGCCCCTCGTAGCATGGATCTTGAGCAGGATTCTAACTACAGGGTAGTTACTGACCCATTTCCCAGTTAGTGGTCGTTGACTGGGAATGACTCCGCTCCGCAGTAGAGCCCATTGGAGTGGAGGGGTTTTCGGGGTGCTGATGAGCTCAGACAATCGTACAAGCGGCTAAAGGTCAGCTGGCAATCTGCCAAGCTCAAGTGATACCTCCCAGCTGCAGAGCTCCTCAGCGAGGACTCGCTTGCCGCCCCTGCACGTTCACCTGACTGCTCTAAGCAAAGCAAAACCTGAGGATGCCAGTGCAAAATGGAAGCTCACAATGAAATAAACCCAATACCATTCAACAACACCCTCTTTATTCAAAAATAGATCTCTGAGACATTTCAGAATATACTGCTGCCACAAACGGCAGCCTATACTTCTAAATTAATTCCTAAATCAATTCATATACAGATTTATGCTTTTTTTTCTTCTTTTTTTAAACAGACGCTTCAGGGAAATCCAATTAATCTGCACCCAGTTCACCGGGCATC